AGAAAATTCTTCAAAAGTAATAAAGATGGTATGAAAGTCAAGTTTAAGAACTTCCTGGTTACCGTCTCTCTGTGTTTCTGGTCTCTAAGCTGGCAGACCACACTCTCTATTCAGCAGAGGCTTGCTGGCGCCATGCCACGACTTCCTGGGGCTCCCATTTAACAATATTTTACATCAGATTGGTTAAACGGCTCAGCCCAGCACTGGCTAACATTTCATGCTGCTGCTGCTGGTCGTGAGCTAAGCTGACCCCAGGACACAGTTTGGCTGAGCACACCAGACTCTGAAGGGTTTAACCATTTGTTGGCCTGAGTAAACCTCAAGGCTCAAATTAATACGGGCTTTACTAGGTAGCTGCAGGTGTTAAACTAACTTTTGGATAAAGTTTTATTTCGTATGTGTGCACAGTGCAGCTAGAAAAGCATTTCATTGTGTGCGTCTGTACTGCATCGGGACAGTAAAGCTGGTTCAGGTTGGAAAAACTTAACCAGAGGATCCTGATAAGAAGCAGAAGAGGTGATGACTAACTAAAGGGCTGATAAACCGAACACACAGCCCAGCTGGCCTCTCTCATCTTATTGAGACAAAAGCTCTTATCTCATGACCATAGAGCTTTAAAAGACGATCTTTTCTCTTCCTTAAAGGTACAACTTTAGTTTGTGCCTTTTTAAAGCAAACCAAATGTATACTGATACTCCACCCAAATCACTCCAGCTGAAACCACCGATCTATTTTTGCAGCAATTGTTAAAGGAAACTAAATAATCATATTTATAGGAATCATTTCAAAAAGTAAAAGAGGAAAAAATGTGTACTTTATAGATTCTCAATGGAAAGAATTTTGTCTGTCTGTCATGATCACTTATGAAAGTATTTGTAATGTAGTGCCATGTGTGGTTACAGTGCCATAACCTCACTTCAGATTGTCCTTGAGAGGCCACCTGATTCTATTTTGCAGTTCATTTGAACATTTATTATTTTTCACATCGGTTGAATGGATGGATACTAAAAAGTAGAAAAGTCACAGAACAAAACAATCAAATTTACACTGTATGTATATCAAAGTGCCATTTTAAGCCTTTATTCACATTTCTTATTAAATACATCATATTTAAAGTGTTTATGAAAGACTGACGAAGGTCACACAGGCTGAAACGTTGTAACTGAATAAAATATTATGGTAAGCAGGACTGTCTGCCGAGGTGCTACTATATATTTTCCTCTCTGCACCTGTCACTGACTCAGTTGTGCAGAGTTTCCTAAAAAGAAAGTGTTTATAAAATGAAACGAGGCACTTGGTGACATATTGCATGCGAGATGTCAGATCAGATTGCCGTGTGTGGCTAATGCTGGCAGCAGCAGTCTTCATGTAGGTTAAAGTCCACATGCTGGTGCAGAATGTGGTCACTCTCTGGTCGAGTGGTTATTCTTCAGCTCTCTGTGACACGTACATTCTGCTGTTCGTTTTCTACATCAAAGCCGTGCAGGTTTGCTGGTTAGCACAGCTTACTTTGCACCCACAGCTCTGAGGGTGAGGGCAGCAGCTTTTCCACGTCTGGCCGTCCAAGTGACGAATATCCCCAAACAATGTGCCTGATAGGGAAAAACTCATTTCACTCCTCTTTATAGAGTAACTTGAGAGTGTTTGATACAATCGGGTCTTTAGAAACAGTTCTCTTGAGTTTTTGCACATGGGTGGCAAAATGACGCAGTGATTACCTCACTGCATGAAGGTACTGTGTCCAAGTTTCCTCTCAGCTTTTTTATAAGCCTCCGATAGTCACAGGCTTAAAAGGAGTGGAAAAACTGTGATTAGTTGTAATTATTGGGATTATTCTTTGTAAAAATGAGCTAAAAATCCTTTGCGGTCAGTAAGTGTGTGAAGACAGGAACCATGGAGGCCACCAGATGCTGAAGTTTCCCTTCTTGAGAAACTTGGCCCAACATTTACAGCAGCTGTCTCCAGTTGTTGGTTCCAAAATTCCTAAAGTTTTGATTTCAGGAAATTAAAAGTCTTTAATATGTTTAATAAGTTTATTTTTTAAATTTAAATCCAAACCCCCAAAACACCGTGACATAAAAAGATCTGTTTACTTAAATCTTTGTCTTATTGTTTGTTTGCTTTTTTGTAGAATTATTTCAAATGAATAACTGTAGATGTGCTCAAAACTGATCAAAACACTAGCATCTGTTCCTAAATCAAGTTGGAGACCCGTCTTTGGAGATGCCCTCTTACTCGCTTATACAGTAAAGACCTTTGCCCTCGTTTGGAGCCACAGCTCCAGCGCTGCAGTGTGTGTGTGTGTGTGGACACACTGCTGCCTGTGGCCGTCATGTCCGACACACTGAAGCAGAAGTGGAAAGCAATAGGAAGAGATTAACAAACACAAAGATGAAAACAGAAAAACAGGCACTTGGTAAGCAGAGGGGAGGGAACGCATGGCGAGGGGCGGGTCTGAGTGAGAAGTTTAAAAGAGGTCAGACGGTGCTTCAGGGAACGCATGGCTAGAGTGTCAGTGAGAAGAGAGCAAAGGCAAATAGAGGAAAGATGAAGTGAGGAGAAGATGGAGGAATGGTATGATTCGGCAGAGGAGGAGGATCTCTTCGTTCCTCTCTGTGTAAACAGAAGCACAGCAGAGTGGAGGGGAGTTGAATCTCCTCCATAGAGGAATGTCTGGTATGGCTACTAAAGGGGGAGGGTGGACGTGTGTGTGTGTGTGTGTGCGTGTGTGTGTGCGAGAGAGAGAGAGAGAATGTGTTAGGTCAGAGGAGGCAAAGTGGGAGAGGGAGTAGGGTTTGTTAATCTGAAGGGCCGAGACCTCCAAAAGTAAATCACCGTCGAAGTTTACCTTTGAACAAAACAAGGCGTCAGCTTTGACAGAGACTCAGGAGCAGAGCAGCACTTAGTGCTAACACACAGCAACTCTGATCAGCAGGCTGATGTGATCCAGCTTTGTCGGGCCAAGTGTGTCCGGTGCTGGATGGTTTGATGGTTGAGCTGATTACTGTGAGTTTGCTCGGCTAACATCATCTCAGAAGTTCCCTTAAATATAAATTATAATAAATATTAGGGGTGCAACGATACACAAAATTCACGGTTCGGTTCGATACTTTGGTGTCACGGTTGGATATTTTTTCTATACAACAAAAATGTTCATGCCTTTTTAATTTGTCATTTATTAAAATTATAAATATATATTTTAACTCAAACGCACA